TCATGAGGGGATGAAGCCCCGGTATATGAGGACTGGGACGGGGAAGAGGGCGCATGGTAAGCCGCGGTAGCTGATTGGGGAATTGGGAGAGAAACAACCGACTCAGCCCTGGGTACCTGGGACCTGGCCTCGAGAGCCCGCTCTACCGCCTGTGCAATTAGTGCCTGAAGGTGGTCCTCCGGGGGAAAGGTGACTGGCTCAGCTGTCTTGAGTCCAGCTGCAGTGGCGGTGAAGGTGGCTTCTGGAGCCAGGCGCTGGATCCGTGGAGCAGGAGGCTGAGAGATGGGAATATCGCAGACTGGGTCAGGCAGAACAGGAGAGCTGAGAAGGTCCCCTGGTAACCAAACCCCCTGGGAAAAGGTGGAGGGGCCCAGGGGTAAATCGAAAGGGGGCGCTTTGGCCTGTTTAGTCTCAATCCTGGCCTGCTTCTGAGCTTTGGAGAATTCTTTCTCCAGAGCCTGGTGTCTCCTGCTGGCATGCTTATCCGCCATTTTGGAGGTTTTCCCCACAGTTCTGGCCTTGGCCGATATCTTGCCTGCGGCCTCCTGATGGAGGATCTGTGTCATTTCCGGGCCGAGGAAGGAAGTAAGACATCCTTGTTCATGGAAGCCGTAGTATCCTCCATCCTGGTGGATAAACGCAGGTGCACGAGAGGGTACCCCTGGTATCCTGATACAGCGTAGGTGGGAAGGAGAAAGATAAAGAGCAGGGGATGATACTGGTCACCATGCCCGCCTGGTCACCAGGCCGGTACTTTGATTGACCGGTCGTGTGAGCAACCATGTGGTGTTGCCAGGCCAGCTACTTGAAGAGTGGCAACACAGCGTACGAGGTACGCGGGCCTGTGGGACGGCGAAGTCCCCTGTGCGATGTCACAGCAGTCACTGCCCGCTTCGAGGTGACCAGATATAGAGACACCGAGCCCAGACCCTAATATCTAGATGTGATTTTGTGATTGGTGTTGAATAATTTGAGGAGAAAAAAATATGAATCCACCATGAAGCAGCCTAAATCTATCTGAAAAATCTACCCAGCTGAAAGGAAACAGGGAGTTGAATGTCATGGCCTGTAGGCCGGAGTGGATGTGCCCTGTCTTTCAAAATGGCGGCCATGAACTGAGGTGGTTCCCCTATATATGAAATAATAAAACAGGGGAAAAGAGGATTCGGCCCCATCGGGGACAAGGAATTGCGAGGAGATGAGGAGGTCAGAGGAGGGATCCCCCCCTCCGTGAGTGTCCAATGGCCCGTTCAACAGAAAGGCCACGCAGGCCCCAAGATGGCGGCCGCATGAGGAAAAGGCCTTGTGCAGGCCACAAAATGGCGGCCGCGCGAGGGACTTCCAAGCGGAGGCCCAGTGAAGGTGAGGCTAGTTTGATCACCTCTTCCATTCTTTCCCTGGGTCCCCCAACGATCGGGCAGTGAATTGTGATCCCCCCCGGAGGGCCGTCGCCGATAAATAAAGGCTGGGAAGCCTGCCTGAGCACTTGCCGAATGCGCGCTAGCCTCAAACGGCCGTTTTCGCCTTGCGTGCGCATTCGGCTGTCCAGGCTGCGGCCGCAGTCTCCGACAAGAGAGAAGGCTTGCAAATTGATCCCAGAAGGCTGGGAGAGAAGAGGCAGGCACTTTCTGGACGCACGCTAGCTTCAAACGGCCGTTTTCAACTGTGCACGCGTTCGGCCTTCGGAGCTGCAGCCACAGGCTCCAGTAAGGAGAGTGAGCTGAAAAAGGGATTAGAGGAGCGATCCCAGGCTGGGAAGGCGAAGAAGAAGGAGAAGGGACTTTCCGAACGCACACTAGCTTGAAACAGCTGTTTTTTCTTTAGCTGCGCGTGCGTTTGTAGCCAGAGCTGCAGCCGCAGGCTCAGGTAAGGAGGGAAAGCTTGAAAGGGCGATCCCAGGAAGTTAGGAAGAAAGGAGATAAGATGCAGCACTGATCCCAGTGCTGCCCGAGGGAGAAGCGAAGGTAAGCCTTGTTGCTGAGGGGAGGCAGCTTCCCTCAGCTTCAAAACTTTACTGTGAGGGGGAGAGGAACGGAAGCCTCCATTCCTCAAGGAAAGGAGAAAGATGGTTTTTAGAGAATGGAATAGTCAAGCTGAAAACAGCGCTGGTACAGTGCTGCTCAGAAGACTGAGACAAATGGAAAATCCACCAATGGGAAATCTACCTGCCTATGAGCCAAACTTGCACGTCTGTCCTGGGCAAGATCAAGTCAAGACTGGGACTCCCTAGTCCAGGACAGGCATAGCACATTTGGCTGACTTGATCTGATTGGACAGGAACACAGCCTAAACCCATTGGTGGATTCTCCATCTCCAGTGCTGGAGAAACAAGGTTTTACACTGAGGCAGGAAAAACCAAAGGCAAAAGTACAGATTAGGTGAAACCTGGCTCAAAAACAGTAATTGTGAGAGGGACCTTGAAGTACTACCATAGTGGATGATCACTCAAACATGAGCCAGCAGTGTGTGGCAGCAACCAAAAAAGCTAATACAATCCTTGGTTGTATAAACAGAGGCACAGAATCAAAATCACACAAAGTATTAGTACTACTTTATAAATCCTTAGTAAGATCACACCTGGAATACTGCATCCAGTTTTGGTCATCACATTACAAAAAAGATATTGAGACTTTGGAAAAAGTGCAAAGAAGAACAACTAAGATGATTAAAGGCCTGGATACTAAAATATATAAAGAACAGTTGCAGGAACTGGGTATGGCTAGTCTAGAGAAAAGAAGGACTAGGAGTGGCATGATAGCAGTATTCGAGTATTTGAGAACCTGCCACAAAGAAGAGGGGTCAACTTATTTTCCAAAGCTCCAGAAGGCAAGATAAGAAACAATGGATGGAAACGAGAGAAGCAACCTGGAATTAAGGAGAAACTTTCTAACAGTGAGAACAATAACCAATGGAACAGCTTGCCTTCAGAAGTTGTAGGTGCTTCATCACTGGCGGGTTTTAAGAAAAGACTGGACAGCCATCTGTCTGATATGGTATAGGATCTCCTGCTTGAGCAGGTGATTGGATTAGAAGACCTCCAAGGTCCCTTCCAGCTCTATTCTGATTGGTTGGCTGATTGATTGATCCCTGTCGGTTATGGTATTATTTGTAAGGGCTGAGTACCTCTTTGATTGTATTGCCTACCTAGATTATGAGATGCCATTTAAGCTGGTTTAACTTGCAGGTCCAAAACTGTTTTAAGGCAATGGTGATTCCTTAGTAAATTGTCAACTTTTTAATTTTACAATGACCCAAGGTTTTTACACTACAGATAGTCCTTGTATTATGATCAAAATTGGGACATGATTTGGAAAAGAAGGCAAAGCCCTGCAAAGGAGGCTCCATTCTCGCAATCCTTCAGAAGCTTCCTTCTGCAAGCCTTCAGTGATTTGTAGAAAGAAGCTGCTTAGAGAATGGTGCAAGGTACCCTCAGTAAAAAAAGCTACACCATTCATAAGCTGGGCATGCTTATCAGTGGCTGGAGAAAAAAAGTGAAGGTAACTGGGGCGCTTTGCCTGTGTTGGTGGGCAAGATCAAAGGCCACCAAGTTTGCACACCAGTAGCAGGCTGTGGCTTCCTAGGCCTCAGCAGCTTTCAATGTGCTGGTAGGTCAAGTAGCTAGCTAAGTCTTTCCAAGCGGCAGCAGCTTTGTGATGCTGGTAGGCCGGGTTGGTGGCCGACATGGGGGCAAAGATAAGCATGTGGGAGGCGTTGCAGCACCCCTGCAATATAAGTGTGGCCTGACTGCCAAGCACCTCAATTTTTATCATTTGTGCAAGGGCACTGCAACAGCTGTAATTTTAGGCAAAGGTCTTAAGTTCCTTTGTTCAGTACTGTTATAATTTAGAGCAATCATTGAATGAATGGTCATAAATCAAGGACTATCTGTACATCAAACTGGACTTTCTGAAATTCATCTTGTTTGTGACACTTAATCACAGGCCACAATCCACCAGAGAAATAGGTGTGCTTCTCAACTGTTTTATCAAACATATACACCACATCTTATTAGAGAAAGTGGAGGCTGGTAACCCACAATAGAAACTTCAAGAGCCAGAAAAGATCTGATTTCCCTATGAGATGCTGACTCCAACAGCTGAATCAGACAGAGAAAACAAACCCCTTTTATTTTAGAAGGTTGTGTGTTTCTCTTTTTATCGTAATTAACTGTGGTTTGGGGTTGGTTTTTTTTGCTTTATTTGCTAGTTTGTGACTAAATAAAAATGATTGATTGATTGATTCTTTCCTGGTTCTTGCCTTGCTCAAGATTTTGATCTTCAATTCTTACCTTGTTTGACTCCTGGGATTTATTTCAGTTTTATCCTCTTGAACTGACTCAATTTATATAGTGTCTTATTCTGCTACTAAACTCTTAGCAGTGTGGCAATATACCTATAATATGTATATGTATGTATAATATTGCATATGCAGACTGTATTACTAATTTCAGTTATGGATACAAATACATATATATCTTCTTACTGGGAAGTTGGCTTCCCTGTTATGTATCCACTGGACACTGAATTATATTTTGCAACTCAACATCCCCAATTTTTGCTTTTCTTTCTTACATTTCCATTTAAAAATGGTATTACTTTTATCGACAGGGTGTACAACTTATCCAGGTTATTTTTTTTTACTAGTTTCTTTTACCATTTTCCAGTAAAATAAAATAAAACCATCCACATTTCCTATTTTCATTCCATCACATATGCTGTACCCACAAGATACTTTTGTTTAACTGATTTCAGAGGCAAGAATCTGTTTACAAGAACAAATTTGTTCTATTTATTTTTGGTCCTAAATACTAAATACTATTGTTCAGTTATTTATTGAACTATCCAAGCTAGATAGTGTAGTATAAAAGGATTCTATCCTTCCAGAGCAATTATTTTTTTCTAATTCTGAGATTCCATCCAATATTCCTGTCTTCATTAGAATAGAATAGAATAGAATAGAATAGAATAGAATAGAATAGAATAGAATAGAATAGCTCTTACCGTTGTGTATTTGCCCAACTGGCAGAGTGAAGGAAATGTTTCCTGGTGAGATTTTCTGATTTTCTCAGTGAGATCATCCAGTTCTGCTGTCATTTCATAATTCTCCAAGAATTCTTGCTTTAAAGGCTCCTTTTTCTTTTTGTTCCTGTCATTTCTGACAGCTGGAGGCAAAAACAAAATTCAAATTTGGTTATTTAATCATCTAAATTTGGTGCTTATCTAAATTCAGTAGATCTTGAATAAGTATTAAACAGGCCAAACATAGAACACAGAAAGGAAATTAGTAATTTAATAGCTTTTTTTTTAAAAAAAGTGTCCATTAGATTACAGATAGTTCTTGACTTATGATCATAACCATGTTTGAAGTTATAGCACAGGGGTGTCAAACTTGCAACGTTGCGATGTATCACAACTTTTTTGCCATTGCCAGCAATGGGGTGAGCACGGTTTTGCTATGATGCATCCGGCCCGCAGGCCGGCAGTTTGACACCCCTGTTATAGCTGAACAAAAGGACTTACGGCTGGAGCCCAAAATTACAGCCACTGGAGTGCCCCTATAGTCTCATGATCAAAATCCAGGCATTTGATACCCTGTCCACGTTCACAACTGCAAGGGTGCTTCAACTCCCCCCTCCCACCTGTTTGTTTTTTCCCGTCTTTGCCTTTTTGGCACCTTCCACTCCATAGTCCCTGCCATCTAACTGACTTTTCCCAGCTTCTTCCTTCTGCTACTGATCAAGCATGCCTTTTGTGAAACAGCTACTGGCCATACAAGATTTTCTTCCCAAGATCGCACAGAGTGGTTTCCTTGCAAGATTTGGGGAAGATGGCATCATTTAGCAAGTAGCCCCTTATGAAAGGCAAGGGCAGGCAACCTCTCATTGGCAATAGGAACTAGAGAAAGCAAAGGTCCTCTAGAACAGCAGAGTGCAGAGAAACAGCAGCCTCAGACTACAAGGTGACAAGGGCTGCAGCTGGGCTAGGGTGGCTGAGGTTTCCCAGAGTTGATGTGGTTTTATGCAGCACTACTGAGATAACTAAAGATGCTGCAGTTATGTGATGCTCTGCTGGGGCTTCCTGGGGTGCTGAGGCTTTACACTGCATTGTTGGGGCAGATGGAGCCTCCAGGGTGCTATGACTTCACACTTGAGTTATAGCCCAAGAGTTCTTTTCAGCCCCAGAGTTGCCGTGTGGCAAGAAGCTCCTGAGCTGGAAAGTGGCAAGCAGCCTGAGAGTTACATGGTTCTAGGACTGCTTGCTACCCCAGAAGACAAAGTATAGGGCAGTCAAAAGGACAGAAATGGGAGAGGTGATAGGCAGGTGGAGAAAGTTGAAGACTTAGTTTGGGGGAGGACCAATGGCATGTTTTGAGGAGGATCATCAGCTAACAACTTATAGAATTTAGTTAATAACAGCATGGAGAGTCGCTGTTACTAAGTGATGTGACAAGTGACATTTTGTTTTACGACAACAGTGTTTAGTGATGGAAATTCTCATCCCAACTGTGATCATAAGTCAAAAACTACCTGTAGTCAATTATAATATGAAAATCTCTTTCTCTACAAAATCTGAGATTTCCTGAAGTCAATGTTAAAAATTAGAATGTTATTTTTGACATTAGAATCACTTATTCTTATTTGAAGAAAAAGCTCTCCATATCAGCTATTGGAATGCAAAAAAAGTATCAATGAAACATAAGGGCATTATAATCATTTAGCTCTGCCTCACTGAAACTGAGGAAGCCTGTAGGCACCTGCACATCTTTGACTTTTATTTTTTTCTTTGACTATAATAATGGGAAATTAATATTATTGCAAGTTAATACATGCCAGCTTCCAGCATCATTTTTATTTCCAGAATCTGATTTCCTGATAAAATGTCCATTGGCATTAAATATTTAAGCTAACATTGATTGGCACTTTTAAACAGGGATGGTTTACATGGATGAACAGGTTTCGGTGTGCTTGCTTGCTTGCTGCTAATCCTAGCACACAAATTTAGTTTCCTACAGTTCCCTTCTTCCAGAATTGTCTTTAGGGCTGGTTAAAAAAGTCCAGATAGTGACTTTGATAAGCTCTTTGCAGACTATGGCTTTTGCTGTAAGAGGCAACTAAGTAAATTTCATAAAAATCATCTAGAACAACTAAACTTTATATGGGGAGGAATGATTTTAGGCTGACATATAGTACAAGCAGATGACTGATTATTACTGATTAATAATGATTAATACGGTTGTATAAAATCTGAGCTAAGTTTTCAGTCCTAAGATTCCAAATGATATCATTGATAGTAATTAATGGAAATTCTATCAAATTCAGCTGGCACAAAGGACCTATATATACAACTACAGACTAAGAATCTGCCTCATTCCTTTACTTATTTACTATTTATACATATGAAAATATTCCTCAAGATACTATTTTTTATCATCTAAATTTGGTTAAGGACAAAATTATGTTTTTTGTATCATACACCATTACCCAGATCTCTTTGGTATATACACCATTACCCAGATTAATTTTATTAATTTGATCATTTTATGTCTTGTTACTTGTAAATCTTACTAAAGGGTCCTACAGAGGCTAAATTGACAGGACTCTTTCTTAATTCTACTTAGAAATACATTGGGATATTTAAAGATGCAAAATATTCTTTCTTTGAAATAAAACAAAATTAAAATACTTCATCTTAATTAATGATCAACAAACTCAGAAATCCAGAGTCATTGGTAGGGCAGATGCAACACAGCATAATTTTATCTGCACAAACATATGAAGTAATGTTTTGGGAGAGCTCTGAACATTATTAATAGTTCAGATGAAATCTGTAAAGGTTTCTTCCCTCTCCATAATCCTTTTTGGAAGCATTGCACCATAAATGGTAGGCTGACATGGACAATTATTTTCAATTTCTGCTCAGTGCATTTGTTTCCTCTCTTTGTGCAAAGCTATATTAAAAATTGAGTGAGGTTGGGTTTTTTCTCATTTCTCCACACCTCAGAAGTTCTGCTTTCCCACAATCTCATATAAGCAATATTTTGTCCCTCTCTATACCAACTGGAAATAAACCTCTTTCTGAGTGACAACTTCCCAAATTCCCAGTTAGCATATACTGTACATTGGCCAAAAGAGAAAAAGTTACTATAAATATGATACTATACCCCAAATAGCTACCTTCAAATCACATTTCAGTATTATACTTACATTATTTCCATTTCTATATTGGATTATATCCCTTGGAGACCAATTATGAACATATTAACATCAGGATGTCAATATTTGTAGTATCTCAGAGACAAAGGTTGATTAGCCAAGAGCTTTTGTTAGAAAAATTCTATGCCTGAAGTGGACTGAAAATGTGATAAGGATATTACATTGAATCAGTCAACTGCAGGTTTGCAATAGAGTAGATACTATATATACTATATACTATATGTACTCAGTGGTGGGATTCAAATATGTGAAGAACCAGTTCTCTGTTTGGATGCCACTTCCGGAAGTCCATTCTGGGTGTGGGCAACAAAAAATTAGCTACCGGTTCTGCCAAAGTGGTGTGAACCGGCTGAATCCCACCACTATATGTACGCTACTCTTTTCAGGGAAGATAATGTCAATAGTGTCTGTATTCATTGCATGAATGAAGCAATGAACAATGTATTGTAAAGAAATTACTTATAAGCAAATAATGTACCCGGATTTGAGGCTAGCAAATGTTTCCGTAGCCCCCTGGGGCCCAATCAGGCCTGGAAAACGCCTCTGGAGTACTGATTTATTTATTTAATTTATTTATTTAATTTAATTTATATGCCGCCCTTCTCCCGACAGGGACTCAGGGCGGCGCACAACATATTTAAAACCAGAACATATATACAATCCCCCCCTTAAAACCGAATTAAACCGAATTTTAATGTTGCGTCTTCCGAATATTTAAAACCCAATGTAAAATCCACCCTAGGTCAGGTCCGC